AGCCATAATCCAAAATACTGGACATAATTCAACTGAAAAAGGAGTGGGAGGGAAAACAGCGATCAAAATAGCAACATAATAACAGTATAGATTTCCCCTGCGCTCACCTGCGTGTACAGCTCTGGCACAATAATCACCCTTGGACACACTACAACGGTCAGCTAAACACTAACCCCACTGGTTTTTGTGGATTGACAGCTGAAGTCGCCCCATCACAAACATAGGAAGGCGGGACTTATTCTGGAACATCTGAGTTTCAATGAACCTCAAATCGCAGCAGTATCGAAAAATTATATTCAGGCGTGTATATCAAGATATGACATTTTGTAGTTAGTCCAGTTATTGACAACAACTTTTGGTACCCCTTGCCATGGGTGTAGACCAAAATAACTAAGTGCTCAAATGCAGCACTGCCAAACATATAGTAAAATTGAATAAACAAAACTCAAAAAATAAGAAAATTCAGGATGAAACAAGAATCCAAAATCAGAAAGAAAAAAACATGGACAAAGAATATAACAACGACTGACAACAAGAGGAAAGGAGCACATAGGCTTGAAATACACACAGGGTCACACAGGTAAAAACACATTAGGGCGGGGCCAGCGATCAACAAAACAGGAAGTAAAGCTAAGAAGACACAGGAGAACAAATACAAAATAAAACTAAGAATAGGAAGTAAGAACGACAATCATGACACCCCTTTACATGAGAGATATCGGATTTCTCCTGCACAAGTGATAGAGGACTGGACCACAGAGATTGATACATATACAAACACCTCAGACTGAAAGACTTTTAGTAGTTAACTTGAGAAGATGAGTTTTAACCTTCATTATACAGTATAACCTTTATTAGTCTCTCAGCGGGGAAATTTCAGGGTAATTATTGCAAACGGTACAGTGGAAATAGAGGGACTCAGCATTAGTGCACATCACATCAACATTGCCCGCCTCCACCCCTCCCTTACCCAGTCAACAGCCGAAATCCTCACCCACGCATTAATCTCCAGACTTGACTACTGCAACAGCCTCCTCTACTGACTTCCCACCTCTCATCTCCAAAAACTGCAATAGATCCAGAACTCTGCAGCCCGCCTCCTCACCCACACCCGGTCCAGAGAACACATCACCCCTGTCCTCCTGCAGCTCCACAGGCTCCCCGTTCAGTACCGCATCCAGTACAAGCTCATTCTCCTCACCTACAAGTCCCTCCATAACCTGGCCCTGCCATAACTTACTGAGCTCCTACAACAAGCAAGCTTTTCTGCAAACCCCTTTTTAATTTTATTGTATTTTATTCCCCATGTGAAGAGTCCAATAAAACGCTATACAAATTTGATGTATTATTAATATTATTATTATCAAACTAAATAAACTCTCGAGCCATTATTGCACTTGAGGAAAGAGTCAGGAAGTATTCTGTAAACAGTTGTTAGGATTTAAGCAGACAGAGACGGATCGTGGTGTGCCAAACTCTGGAAGTTTATTTAAGTTGCTCTCAAGTTCCACTAGTTTACTCTGTTTCTTTTCCTCAGACAGAATAAAGGCAGTACACAGTTTATATAGTCATTGTCACGTCACACATCGAAAGACATACGTGTCACAAAGAGACAGTCACATCATAGTCATAACATGGAGTCCTTGTAGAGTCCTTGTACAGTCCTGCACGTAGGCCATATTGCTATCTAATACTAACACCCTCCCCTTTGATCACATAATCACATGTGATCACTCAATTTGATCAATCAATAAAATGGAAAAAGAAAAAAAAAAATCCAAAAAAACAAAAAACAAAAAAAACTTTCAAAAATTATTAAAACTCATAATCATCAAATCAATATCAGTGGATTTTATCCTCTATCCTGGAAAAAAGAAAACAAACAAAAATAAAGTAAATAAACAAACAAAAAACAAATCAAAAATAAAAAACAAACAAACATAAAAACAAACAAAAACTATTGGACACACAAGAACTCAGCAGATTCAGTCAAAACACAGACAAAAACGAGCTGAGTCTCAATTTTGAAGCTAATTTCACTTTTATTACTCTATACTTTTATTCTAATGCTATTTGTTTACACTACACTTCACTTATTTCACTGTATTATTTTCACTTTTCAATCTTAGACTGTGTACTTTACTTTTACTATTCACTATAGTTTAAAACTATTCTAATCTATTCACAAATACGTTTGCATATTTGATTCTATTGAGCCATATTCTTAAACATACATTTTAATCTAATAAATCTCTCTTTAGTTTTACACTCTCATTATCAGTGGCATATTATCAGTGGGATTTTGCTCCATGTCTATTCTACATTCTCAGGAATAAAACTGTGAACACAGTAAGGCAAATGGTCAACATTTACACTTCTATAGTGGTCAGTGATTTATTACTTTTTATTATCTAAAGATATTATTGTCAGGCATTTGGGATGAATGAACATCATTAATCAAATTAGTATTATCATTACAAGAGCTAGGTAGGAAGGAAAGAAGGGAGACAGGAAGGAAGGAAGAGAAAAGAAGGGAATATAGAAGGATGAACAGAGAGAAGTAAAACAGGATGAGAAAAAGGAAGGAGAAAGCATGGCAGGAGGAAAGAAGGAGGGAAGAATTGTCATTTTGACCCGAGAGGAGGACAAGAAGATTAGTCTAAATAATTCTTAAATATAGCGTTGGAATTTAAAATGTATTATATGTCACTTTTCTAAATATTTATATAACCTAAAATAAAGTTGTTATTGGTTTAACCTGTTTTCTTGACTGTTTTGAGTGCATTTACACAGTACGGGTCAAAATGACCCGCAACATAATCAATGTCATTTTTTTCCAACATAATACAAGGGTTAAATGAATTGTATTGACCGGGATGTGAGGACCAAAGTCTGTGTCGTCGTTGATTTTGTATCATATTTATTTTGGAAACAATCTGCCAAAAATGAGGTAGACTTTTATTTTTAGGAGATAATTTGGGTTAGTTTGGAAGAGCATTGAGTTATTTTTCCAGACAACATTGAGGACATTTACATGGTTGTGTGTGTGTGTGTGTGTGTGCGTGTGTGTGTGTGTGTGTGTGTGTGTGTGTGTGTGTGTGTGTGTGTGTGTGTTTGTTTAGCTTTTCCTCTCTTACGTAAGCTTCAGATAGAGTTGTAAAAATGTGGTGAAATGATTGACATGTACAGGATACAGCTGTTGTCGCTGAGAAAGGCTATGGTTTCTGTCATTTTTTCACCTGGAGTTCTATAATACCAAATAGTTGATGGTAAAAGTGCCTTAAACCAAGTGAAAGACATGCCCCAATGAGGTAGATTTCAGTTCCAAGTAGATCTAGTGACTCAAAAAGTGATCCACCAAATGGTTGAGGAAAAACATTAAAGGGTTAAATGTTGAAGTTTCATTATTGTGAGGAAAAACACCACGATTTAAAAATAAAAAAAGTTATTGACCAATGAACAGTAAATCTCTTTATTGAATTGTCTTTGTCTGAAATACTTCAAGTTCATAAATTGACGATGATATTATTACTTTAATTCAACCACAAGAATCCAAAATAACATTCACATATGGAACAGTTAATCAAATCAAACCAAATGCCACAGCGTTTAAAGTCAGACTAAACACAGACTTTGAGAACCACAAATTAAACATTTTTTTTTTGTACAATTATTTTTTAACCTAAAAAATCCCAATTAGCGATTAACCTATTAATGTTTGTATCTCTCGCTGTAAAAACACCTCAAAACTGAATCCAAACATCTCTATCACTTGCTTCATGTTTTTCCAAATGTTCCTGAAAACTGCAAACAAACAAACCCACAGTTTTTTGAGTTACGGGACGAAACAAACAAACAAACTTAACAAACTGACTCACTCTGCCGATGGCAAGCGCTGAGAGGCAATGATATTAATTCCTGCTAATAAAATTCAATTTTCCCAGTGCGCAGACCTCAACGTTACTGCGGCTGAGCTAACTCTTGCACTGGTCTTTCCTCAAAGTTGCATCAGAGAACAGCAGCAGACGGTTGTTCCGGCTCTGACACCGCTGCAGCTGCTAGCATCCAGTCACACCTTCAAAAAACCCCAAAGAGAAACTCAATCGCCATCGACGGACTATCCAGCGATCTCACTCCCATCCGCGCAAAACTAGGAGATTGTGAGTTCATGTAAAACCAGAGAAAGAACAGATTTAACTCTACTTTCAGTGCTAAAATTGCAGCTGACTTTTTATTGTTGTTGTTCGCAAAAGTCTACAGCCCCGAGGCCGCTCTGATCGATGGGAAAATACTCCGGGGGAAAGTAGAGATTCACACTCTTGGTTGTCTTAATGTTGTAGAGTTGTATGTCTCCTGGAGAACAGGTGCCAATATTAGCTCTGTGGGAGAGAATTGTTGTTTTAAAGCTGTTTATCAGGGCAGGGCACTGGTTAGTTCTGTGATGGGAGACACCAGGTGCCACAGTGAGGCGGCTGCGGCTGTAAAGTGCATTTTCTTCTATATCTTTCTTGTATTTAAACTGTTTTTTGTTGATTAAATTCCCAGTGTTTCATAGACTTTTTAGTAGGGATTGGACTCGATAAAAAAAAAAAAATCTAATTAATTAGATTAGAGCTTCAGTACAATCGGTCTGTCTGAAACCCATCCAGTGAGAAACGTTCCGCGGTGCAAAAAGGGACATGGCGATTAAAATGCGTCAATTTTTTTCACGCTAATTCTTGTATAATTAATTAATCTTAAATAACGCGTTAAAGTCCCGGCCCTACTTTTTAGCTTGTTTTATTTCATATATTTGTCTGGTGCACCCTGGGCTGCTTTTGTGCATGTAATAAAACCTCGGATTCCAATGTGGTTTTACTAACATGAAATGAATCTGAATCTGATCTCATTTCTTTTCTTCCACAGCATTTTCTACATACAAACTTTTTATAGGTTCAAAGTGTAAAATGCAGAATCTGAACTCCTTCACTAAGCTGTTTCTCTTTTGTTTCAGAGTCCAGATGAATCCCATGACGCAGCTGTACTACAAAAAGGCAAGCGTTATTGAATCAATATTTCTTCATTTGCTCGCAGACTTTGTCAGTGTTATGAATGGTGTAGGTCACTCGTTCTTTTGTTAATGGGCGTGTGACATTTGGATTGTTGTCATGCCGACAGAGACGCCCTTCCTAGTTTGACAAATTAGTGGCTGAGATACTGGGACCCCTGATTCGATAACCTCAGCGGAATAACTTTTCAGAAAGCATCCATATATCATAGATCATAGATAACTGTGTATGGATTGCTTGAATCCAGTGTTCTTCTATATCTTAATTTGAGTCGCAGAATATTCTGAGTGTCTTAAAACATTCTTCGTCCAAGAACTGTTGCTTTGAGATTTACTATCTATTCAAACACAATTTTGCTTGTCCCATTTGTAAACATTATGCAAAAGAATCTTTCAAATTTGAGCTTTTTTGGCTTTAATTTGAGGCTGAAAAAGCAAAAGTGAAGCTGCTTTAGGACATTCTAACAGATCCGGACCAAACTATTGCACAACCAACAAATGGCACCTGGAGGAGACCTACACAGACATGAGAAGAACATGCAAACTCAAAAACAGACAGGCTTTGGAGGTGGAATCGAACACAGGGCTTTCTTGCTGTGAAACCAAATAAACCTTACATACAATTCATTTCAGTTCAGTTTAGTTTATTTGAGCTCAGAGCGATACAGCAGGTATTGGGTTTCATGTCCCTCATGTTATTCAAAGGCATTACAAAAATGGAAGAATTGGTCGCCTTTTCTCTCAGATAAAGGTGAGCTCGCAGCACATCACTCATTATTCAAATACAACAGACTAGAGTCACAAAAAGCAGAGATCTTAGAGGAACTACAGATGTAAATGACCAGAGTCAACTTGGAGAAAACACAAAAGTGAAACACACAATTATTCAAACAAAAATTGCAATACTTTAAATAAAACTGTGTTTTTATTCATATATATGTTTGTTAACATTTTAGATCAGATTACCTGTAATTTATATGGTTGTTTACCTGAGGAAGTAAGCTTTAAAATTAAGTATAACGAGCCAAAGTATCACTATACCGTCAATGCTGTGATAACTTTAATAAAGAGAATTGAAAAACTTTTCAGGGGCCCCTAAAAATGGTCTTGCGGCCCGGATTTAGCCCGCGGGCCTGAGTTTAAGTGATCCGTCTCTTCAGTCCATGTTACCGTCAGTGACACAGAGCAGTACTGTTTATGTCGGTTTTTGAAGAAACTCAATTACTGGCGACTTATCGGCTCATTAGATTGTTATTTCTGCTTACACACATAAATGAGACAAATATAGTTATATTTAAATTACCCACAGTCACTCATGCATCAGCAGTGGCAGCTCAATAACACGCCCTGTTCTGTGTTTTATATTTGTGTGTGCGATAAACCAGAACGGACATATTTATATTATATATTTTATTATATTTTATTATATTGCTCACATCAAAGGGTTGTTGTTCGTAAAGTCTACTCATCAGGTGAATAGACTGCTATATCGTTTACTCAATCTCCTCAGACGCTAAAGCAGACTCTGTGAAGGCCAATTTTGCAAAAGGAAGTGCTTTGTGTCTCTGAATCAAAGACATTAAAATGGGCTGTGAACAAATATCCAGTACCTTTTGTAAAATCACAATTATACTGAGACTATTGACTCGTTCAGCACAGTGATTCACAGTTAAAAGGTCCTGGGATCGATTCCACTGCTAGGGATTCTCTGTGGTGTGTGGAGTTTGCATGTTCTCCCAGTGCCAAGTAAATTTCCTCCAAGCGCTCCCGTTTCTCCTACCACAAAAATGATGTACAATAGGTCTGGCCTGCACCTCCCATACAACCTCCTACACCTCCATCCCCGTGCCCACAACAGTTCTGAGGTTTGAAGCTGAATTGTTTCTTTTTATGTTTTCAAATTTGAAAATTACCGACTGCACACACACTGTAAACAAATCATTTAACCTGAGAAGTTGCCAAAACATTTTAATCTAAAATATTTGTTGTTTAAAGAGCAGAAAGTATCTCTGAGCTTCCACTGTCAAGCCTTTCTTTGTAGAGTTTGCATGTTCTCCCTGTGTCTGCGTAGGTTTCGTCCGGGTATGGCAGTTCTCCCCTGACATGTCCTGTCCCAACGAAAAAATAAATAAAATTATACAATGACATCCTACAGGACTGAGAGATATAAAACAACTCTCGGTTTGTTGTTGGAAGAGGAACAATATTTTTATAAATGGTTAAAAGCTCATTCAATGCTGCCTGTTATGACTTTTCTTGAGGTGGTTTTCTGAGTTATACCCGTAATGTTATAGGATTTATCAATGTATTTCCTGCTAAATTAGGCGTTAAAAATACAAATGAATGTGTGGAAAGCTCAGAGCCTTCTCTATAACTCTCTGTGGTTGTGTGTTTGTGTCTCAGGCGACGTATTCGCCGTACAGGGACAGGATTCCTCTGCAGATCGTCCGCGCTGAAGTGGAGCTGTCTGCAGAAGAGAAGGCCTACCTCACCGCTGTGGAGAAAGGTACCGGACGTTATGTACTCAATGTGGGTCAAGATGATGAAGAGGAGGATGGACACTCAGACTGATGTGATGAATGAGCCTGTTTCATGGTTCTGATACAGTGTTATGTACAGTAAATGCCTCTTTCACCTCCTCTCACCCCCTTTCATCTCCTCTCTCTGCTTCTGCTCTCCTCTCCTCTCCTCTCTCCCTCTCTGTCCTCCTCTCACCCCCTTTCATCTCCTCTCTCCTCTGCCCCCCTCTTCCTCTCACCCCTCTCCCCTCCTCTCTCCTCCTTTCCATTCCTCTACCCTTCTCTCACCTCCTCTCCCCTCGCCTTCTCTCTTCTCCACTCACCTCCTCCCACCTCCCCTCCCCTCTTCTCACCTCCTTCCCCCTCCTCTATCCTCCTCTAATCTCCTATCACCTCCTCGCCCCTCCTCTCACCTTTAACCTCCTCCTCTAACCTCTTATGCCCTTCTCTCAACCCATCTCACCCCCTGCCCTCTCCCCTCCACTCCCCCATTCTATCCTCTCTCCTCCTCTCCCCACCTCTCTCCTCTTCTCACCTCTTCTCACCTCTCCTCCCCTCTCTTCCTCTCACCCCTCCTTATACCCCCTCTCACCTCCTCTCCCCTCGCCTTTTCTCCACTCCACTCATCTCCTCCCACCTCCCCTCCCCTCTTCTCACCTCCTTTCCCCTCCTCTGTCCACCTCTCTCCCTCCTCTCTAACCTCCTCTAATCTCTCCTCTCCCTTCCTCTCCTTTCCTCCTCTCCCCTCCTCCCTCCCTCAGGGGACTATGCAGGGGTGAAGCACGCCCTTCGGGAGGCGGAGGTGTACTACAACATGGACGTGAACTGCCTGGACCCTCTCGGCCGCAGTGCGCTGCTCATCGCCATCGAGAACGAGAACCTGGAGATCATGGAGCTGCTGCTGGACCACGGCATCCACACGGGAGACGCTCTGCTCTACGCCATCAGGAAGGAGGTGGTGGGCGCCGTGGAGCTGCTGCTGTCGCACCGCCGGCCCAGCGGAGAGAAACAGGTCAACTTTCACTCACACAAACTTGCATCTTAATGTGTGTGTATGCGTGTGTAAAGTAAAAACAAACACACAAAACGAACCTTGCTTTTACACTGTATTCATGAAAAACAATGAACAAAAAAGGGAATGAAATTATGATAAAAATAATCACTCATTTAGCCATACTTGCAGGCGAAAGCCAGATCCTGTCAGACCTCTGAAGCTAAGCAGGGCAGAGACTGGTTAGTGCTGTGATGGGAGACCTCTGGGAACACCAGCCACAGTGGGGCAGCTGTGGCTTTAAAGTGCCAAACTGCCGTTGTGTCCTTAGGCAAGCCACTTCACCCACATTGCCTAGAATGAGTCTGGTGTGTGTATGAATGGTTGGTGGTGGTCGGAGGGACCGATGGCACACACTGGTTGCCCCGCTTCTGTCAGTGAGCCCCAGGGCAGTTATGGCTACAGTAGTAGTTTATCACCACTGTGTACGTAGTGAATGTATAATGACATGTGAAGTGTCTTTGAGTGTCCTGAAAAGTGCTAAAAATTTACTGATTATTAGTCATTTTTGTCCGTTTCATCCATCTATCCATTTTCTTCCGCCTCATCCGTTGCCGGGTCGTGGGGGCAGCAGACTTTTTCAACATACAGAATAGAATCGCACATTTTCTAAAGAGCTGGAGAATCAGGATGTGGTCTGATTTGGTCAATAAACTCCAAGACGAATAACTAAAAGGAAGAAAAAAGTTACGTACACCAGCTTTAATTCTGGCGACATAAGTGCAGCGTGAAGGAAGGACACGCGGGACATTGTCAGAGGTATAGGACTCGCTCTCTCACACTGCGCCTGCTTAATGAGGTATCACTGCTCAACCACCTAAACCATACTGTATCAAACACGGTCCACTTCACACCGGCCTCACGTTGCATTTTCAAAGCTCATTATCTCGTTGATTTTTTTGCATCAGCGCCGCTCTTTCTACACGTGTTTATATTTAGCCGCTGTAATGAGTGGCTCCATGTGACGCCGCTGTCAGACTGCGAAATGGGATTGAGGGTCCACCGTGTTCATTTGATGGTCTTGCTTATCTCCGCTCCGTCCCCTTGTGTAACTCTGCTGCCGTGGAGGGATGTGGCGGAGGGAGGGAGAAAATGTAGATGGAGACGCAGCAAAATCAGCAAAATCCAAACAAACACATGAGTGAAAGGTTGTTCCAGCTTCTTCCCTCTGGCAGAAGATATCGCTCTCTGAGATGCAGGACATCTCGTTACGGTAACAGTTTTTATCCACAAGCTGTTATCAGTGTGAACAGAGCACTTTAATGATTTGCACTTGTTTTGAAACTGTTTTAGTCGATCGATTTCACAGTGACATTTGTTTACTGTTTTATTTGTTTTATTTCTGTCTTTTAATGTTGTTTTATGTCTGTATTTGTCTGTGCATACTGGAGACTTTTTGCTAATGTATTCCAATGTGGTGTTTTTACTGCAAATGGCAAATAAACTGAATCTGAATCTGAATCTGAAATACGTCCATTTGTAAATATTCAAAATTTGCTCAAATCATGAGAAATGTCCTAAATTCAAGAAATATTTAGTTTAAATTTGATCCTTTTATGCTTATTGTGACCAGGAAAACTCTTATTTCAAGTCAATTGTGATTATTTGTGGAGCCCTAATGCATAGTTCAGTCTCCATCAGGTCTAAAGTACAATGTATAATGTGTCTATGAAAGAGGAATTTTGGTTAAAAAAAAAAAGTAAAATGTGAAAAGTGAACAAATGAAACCACAATGTGCTTTTTTCTTCTTATTTGAAAACATGTGATATTTTTATACTTAAAGAACTCTTGAAGTCACTATTTGACTCTTTGAGCTGATTGGTTGAATATCGAGGGTCCACTCTTTTATCACGTTTCCTTCTGAAAATGTGGATCTGAAGATGTCACAGAGGTTAGTAAATTCTTACATGTGAAACTGCGATAAAACAAAACTGTTTTGATATCTGTAGTTTTTCTCCTTGTGCAAAATGAGATGCTGCAGCTTCCACGAGAACCCAGCACTAACTGAAATAAGTCTTAACAGTTCACATTGATTGCGCTGTTTTTCTTTAATCTAGGACTTAAATGTGAAGAGTCAGTTTTGGCACAGATTGGCTAAATTTATTCTACAGACAAAGCTTCCCAACAACGGCAGGTTCTAAGCACTTTACCTTGTGTTTGAAATGCGCCATACAAATAACCTTGCTTGGCCTTGTCAGTGTCTCTGAGTGTGAGATTGCTGTAATACTCACATCGATCCATGAGGAATAATAATGAAATCAATTTAGAATCAATAGTCCAGTCTTAAATCACATGACATGCTATTTGTGAAGCCTGGTTGCCACGGAGACCAACCCTTGGCCAGAGAGGAGGCTTGTGGGAAGGTTTTGGACAAGAATCAGATCAAATGTGCTCCCGGTGATTCAATTTGGTTTGGATTTTGTTTCCTTTTTCCGTCCAAAGAACTAAAGCGGAGCCATTTCTTCTATTATTTCCGTGTTCATACCAACACAATTATATGAATACATTGTCTATAATATATATTTTTGATTCTGGAGGCGACAGGGATGGTGCTGGAGCTGTCCGTGGTGCTGAAACCAGTAGAAAAAAAAAATCTCAAACGTTTGGAGTCAGAAAAGGAACAATAAAAATAAGATGAATTGTTATTCAAACGTTGCAATTATACAATCTCAAAAGCTGTAATTAATTCAGTGATTATGGCTTTCCAGGTTCCTAGCGGCTAACCCTGTAGTTTAGAAAGCGGCAAACATTTCCATCGTTTCCTTTTAGCCGCTCTTCGATTAATATTTATCTTAAAGGTGGTCCACCTCATTTTCAAGATACAAAAAATGGAACTGTATAATAAAATCTATTTCATATGCGTGCATATATTATATATATTTTTGACCTGTTTTTGCTCACATCGTCAATAAAAATAAGAATACATTGTTTTTTATGACACGGGACTACGGTTGAAAAATAGCTAATTCTGGCATATTTACAGAAATGTTCATTAATATGCACTGTCCCTGTAATAAATGAAAAGTTATTTTTACACTCAAAGACGCTTCACGTGTTATTCTTTCACTCCATACACTGTGGTGATAAACTACAACCGTAGCCACAACTGCCCTGGGGCACACTGACAGAAGCGAGGCAACCAGTATGTGCCATCTGCCCCTCCCACCACCACCAACCATTCACACACACGCAGGCTCGCACACACGCACACACACACCCAAACACACGCAAACACACGCACACGCAAACACACACACACGCAAACACACACACGCAAACACACACACACACACACACACACGCAAACACACCAGACTCATTCTAGACAATGTGGGGATCTGGCTTTAGCATGCAAGTAAGAAAACAAGACAGCTGATTGGCCCTCACTCGGCCACTTAGCCCAAAGTGTCCAATAGTGACTCACACGGTTCTTTCTTACAAACCTGCAAAGAGAAAAGGCTTCGTTTGCAAAAGTGGAAAAGTGCAATTTAAGAAGATTTACACTTTACTCTTTATCCAAACACTCAAATAAATCTAGATTAAAAAGGTAGATTTATTTGAGTGCAATAGTTTAAAAACTTTAATAATAATAAGTTATACCCCTTGTTAAGGAAATCCATTCAAATTTACCGACAATAACAAAATGTGTTGAAGATTGTAATTATGGAAATTCCACTTGGTGACAAATTTCCAAAAAGGAGAATTTAGTTTTTGCAAATAATCTCAAAAAAAAAAAATTCTACAAGATGAAAACAGCAGGTTGTGGTGATTTGTGTTTCAACATTTTGACTTTTACAAAACTCCTGTTGGAGCATATTGTATTCATGGTCTGGTGTAACATGTCTACAAAGGCGGAGCTGAAGTTGGCTGGATGACACTCTGATCTCAATTGTGTCTTTTGGGCGGCACTGCGCTTAAAGCTTGTGTTTCACAGCAAGAAGGTCCTGGGTTTGATTCCACCTCCACATGCTTTTTTGTGTGGAGTTTGCATGTTCTCCCCGTGTCTGCGTAGGTTTCCTCTGTGTGCTCCGGTTTCCCCTACCACTAAAAACATGTACAATAGGTCTGAATGTAATGAGTGAGTGAATGCACAAATATCTAAACTCTTCACATTGTAAAGCGCTTTGGGTAATCTCAGTCTGTAAAATGCGCTACATAAATAAATAAACATTACTTTGGATTAGCATGACTGAAGAAAACCTACGTCCTCTGTCTTTTCCCCAGATGCCGTCTCTGATGATGGACAGTCAGTTCTCTGAGTTCACTCCGGACATCACTCCCATCATGCTCGCTGCTCACACCAACAACTACGAGATCATCAAACTCCTGGTGCAGAGAAAGGTACAGCACTTCTCTCTCATTACAGGACAAAACATTTCATATTTTTAGTGCTTTTTTGTTCTTAAACATGATCTTGGGTTTCTTTTCCTTTGGCTTGAATTCTCTTTTGGAACTTGAAATAATGTGTAGAAAAGCCAGATATTCCAGAACCGATTATACTTTACAATCAGATGTATGCAGTTATGAACTTACTGATACCGTACTTAACGATAAAACCCTAACCCTATTATGTGTCTATATCTTCACAATAAAAAAATTATAATAATACAAAATTATAAAACTCTAGCCCTAAAAGCAGCTGTGAGTGGATACACAGTAGTCCATCACTAAAACCCGCTGTTTTGCAGATCTATTTTGGTTCAATTTTAAGATAAGATACGATAAGATAGACTTTTTTGATCTCACACTGGAGACATTTTTTTTTACAGTGTGCTTCTCTTGCCCTGCGTCTACACCCCAACAACATCATATACATCCTCATAAAACCGCTAGCATAATACTACAGTTAAAAAAAAATTCTTAGTTTTTTAGGTCAGAGGACTACGGCGGTCTTGAGTGAGTGCTCAATGTGCATCAAACATTAATTATCAAATGTCACTACATAGAATATTCTAACTAATCATTCATTAACAATTACTCATCACAATGTTGTACATTTTACAGCCTTCAAACATGAAACTTCTACTTCAAGGAATTTGCTTATTGCGGGTTATTTTTATAACCCGAGCAGTTTATGCCAAAGGTCCCTTATATTTGTGCAGACTGTTTCTGATAAAGGAACACAGTTGCAACATGACGTACACAAAGAGTCACAGTTTTTCACACAATAATATATTATATAAACAACTCTTTTCTCTTCATTTAGTCTGATTAATCTTCTTGTTCTGAGCGAAAACCCGCCCACACTGATACGGTATAATCCACAGTTTGTAAAACGTGATGTTAAATGTATTTTCTGCTGTTGCCAGGAAGAGTGAGGAGTTAAATGTGAATGAGAGACATCCAGGAACTTTTCTATTATTCATCCAACATAACCACATTGTTCCATAGGTAAAGACCAGACCACAAACTTACTTATTAAAACATGTACTGAGTATGTTTAACACAGCCTTTGCTCTCCACTGCGCTGGCGAAACTATTTCTTTTGTATCTAAACAAGCTGGTCCGTTGTGCGAAAAATCTTGCGAGCTGCCTTTTCTGGAAGATCTTAAATGTATCTTTTGACTCTTAAAGTGAGCTATATCAATAAGTGTTCTGGCCCTTGGGAAAGCCATGTTCCAGCTTCTTACTTTTATTGCCCCTTTAAATGCATCTTAGTAATTCGTCTGGACAGAGCTCTTTCATTGGGTGATTAAGCGCAGGGGTATTTGACTTGGTCCTCAAATGCTGAGCTCACATGAGGAAATAGGTGGAGTCTGGTGAGCTCCTGTTGGTTGGAATGAAAACCTGCGGGAGCTTTGAGTTGAAGACGCCTGATGAACTATAGTGATTTTTTTTTGTTTTTAAAGGCACACCGCGGACTTTGTGACCTAAAGAGTTGACACATATGAGTTATTTTATATGAATACTTGGGCCAATATACAGCGCTTGACACTTGCAATGCTCCGAGCGGGGCTGCCCTCTTGAAATACCGCCCATGTAAGTTTCGAGCAGACGGACCGTCTGCCACCAGGTCACGTGACTTGGAAGAAAGACTTGCTTTACGGCTACAGGCGCTGATATACTCATGGAGCTAAGGCTTTTGCTACTCATTTTTCACCTGCTCGACTCCTGGTCATGGCTGAGGCAAGGAAAAATTTTAAACCTTCGGAGGAGGCTAAAAAGAGGAAACGCGAAAGGGATCGTGCTGTAAGCTGCATGTCTGTATGAGCGCTGCTCTTCACCTGGTTCCTGGATGTCATCGACTGCAAAGATGTCATTCCACGCAGCACGAGCTAGACGCAGAACTCCCTCATCCAGGATATAGAAGTCCATGTGTGGTAGATTACTAATGCAGCGGTCTGGAGGCTGACCACAGCAGAGTCTCTCAATATCTGTAGGCATGTCTCTACAGTTTGAACACACACACCAGTGCATGCTGTCTGAATACACACTCAAAAGACACCGGCTGACTGTTTGTTGACTTTTGCGACAGTGCTGAGTTGCTTGTGGCCACTAGGGGCGCTAAATGTGAAAGTTGCAGGTCTAGCGCCCCTAGTGGCCAAGAGTTACACGGTGTGCCTTTAAATCTCTTTCTGTGTTTGTGTGGGCTGAGTGGTGAGCAGTCCTGGGTTTGATTCTACCTCCAGACGCGGCCTGTCTGTGTGGAGTTTGCATGTTCTCCCCATGGCTATGTAGGTTTCTTCCAGTTTTCCCTACCGCTTGAGGAATGAGTAGGGAAAAGCAGAAGATGCAAAATGGCCCACAATCCGGAGAGGTGTGTCCATAACAGCACAAACTATTCATAACACTTTTTTTGATTTTGTTTTTTAGTCTTTTGAATATTGTTTATTATTGGTGAACATGTGGAATTCTCCCACAAATATTTCAATGCGATAAAACAAAAAAAGGCAAATAAACTGAATGATAATAAACTGTTTTTCAGGTCACCATCCCCAGACCGCACCAGATCCGGTGTGACTGTGTCGAGTGCGTCTCCAGTTCAGAGGTATCAGCAACTCCACTTTAATATTGATTTTGTTTTTTATTTAGTTAAGGCAAGGCCAGTTTATTTGAAAAGCACAGTTTAATACACAAAGCAAGTCAAAGTGCTTCACAAAACCAGTAGAATAAATGTCTTTCTAATATACCTGTGTTGCTATTTCATGTCTTTGGTAAGATTCTGATCAAATGTGATGTCACTGCTCTCATTCAAAGATATAGTTCGGTATTCAACCTTTTTGAGCATACTCTAGTTAATGTTTAACTCTAGAACTCCAAGAGCAGTCAATTTGACGGCTTGTAGTTTTTGGTGTATTTACTCATCTCCTGTAACTTTGTGACTTTTTCTGTATCTTTAGGTAGTTTATTTCTATGTCATTATCCTCGATGAAATTATCTTTTACTTGTGAAATGTGAGGAGTTCGCCCTTAAACTCATTTTCCACCAAAGACTATCAAGTCCTAGTTACCATAGCAACACACTATTTACTGTAGCATTAGCCTATTTTGCTGTATTTCAGTTGCCGTTATAATGACCAGTTTTAGCACTTATTAAAAGTGAGTAAAGGTCAAAACCTTAAAAAATACTGTCTTTTATGAACCTGTTAAAAAAGTAAACAATCTGTGAGGGACTTCTCCGATTTGTTAAAGCTTTGCCTGTGTTTGTAGGTGGACAGTTTGCGACACTCCAGGTCGAGGTTGAACATCTACAAAGCGCTGGCGTCTCCGTCTCTCATCGCTCTGTCCAGTGAAGACCCCATCCTCACGGCCTTCAGACTCGGCTGGGAGCTCAAGGAACTCAGCAAAGTATGAGCTCCGTCTGCTTTTTCCAATATTCTGTCAATTACACTGGGGAGCTGTCCGTGGTGCTGAAATTACACCGCGCGAAACGCTCTCATATTTAAAGTTGGGACCAAGTAATTCTCCGAAATTGGGAGGAGAGTGTGGTTTTCTGCTCATAAATATGAAGCAAAAATGTAATTAACTTTTCTGGGGCTAAAAGTTCAGTGGGGACATGTTGGAATCTCTGCTCTGCTTACTGAGCTCTTATGCGTGCCTCAAAATGTTGTTAAAATTACATTCAAAATTAATCATATTATGACAAGATTAAATTAAAACATTAAATATCTGAAGAACTACCTGAGAAACACAAAACTATATGAAATGTTGCTGAAATAGTAATGACAAGTTCCACTACAATACAGTTCAAGAAGAGTTTTTATTGTTATAGTAGTCACCATTGTGTGATAATTAATATTCAATACTGGTAGATGTACTTAAAATTCCAATCGCTTAAATGCACGCACATATGCACGCACGCACACGCATACGCACGCACACACACACTCTCACGCACATGCACCCACACACACACACACACACAGACACACACACACATACACACACACTATTTTTCAACAGTTTTTCAAATTTAATCAAATTTTAATATGTTTTTAATTCATCTCCATAATCTCTCTTATTCAATTCAAATCAATGCATTCTTGTATAGCCCTAAATAACAACAGTTATCTCAGAGGACTTATTTCTGCTCCTCAGAGCCACCTTAAGCTTACCACACTCCCGCTGCTGCTTGTGTTTCAGGTGGAGAACGAGTTTCGTCAGGAGTACGAGGAGCTGTCGCAGCAGTGCAAACGCTTCGCCAAAGACCTGCTGGACCAGGCACGCAGCTCCAGAGAACTCGAGACCATCCTGAACCACCGCGACAACGACCAGAGCGAAGAGCTGGACCCTCGACAGTGCCACGACCTCGCCAAGCTCAAGCTCGCCATCAAGTACCACCAGAAAGAGGTAGGACATGGTACCATTAAGTACCAACAGAAAGAGGTAGAACATGGTGCCATTAAGTACCACCAGAAAGAGGTAGGACATGGTGCCACCAAGTACCGCTTAGAGTAGGACATGGTACTACTGGAGCTGGTGTGAGCAGTGTTAGAATCTTACCCATGATGCATGCAGGTTTTGGCATAAAAGTTGCTCATATGGTCCTCTGATTGTCTAACTGTATACCTCTACACAGAAATGGATGTTTGAAACTTATTAATGAAAGGGTTTAGTAAGTAGTAGTTAAGCACCAACATTTGACATTTGACTTCACATCACCAATCACAACAACATAGACAATTTGAAAGACAGGAATGCAGCTTAAAGCAGCTCTGGGCTGAAT